AGTAAGCAAAACACTGCAGTTATTTAAAAATATTTTACAAAGTACTGCACATTTGACCCCTTTTTATAATTTGGGAACATTGCCAGCACCAATTACTATCCACAGTACAGCTCTAGTAAACGCCTCATACACATGGAAGCTGAATGAGGCATTTGTTTTGAGACGAAAAGTTGCTGGTGACCTATTCAACATTGCATCCTGTGAATAGGCCAATGTGTTGTACAAAGAATAAAGAGTAAATCAATGGCCCCATGAAACAAGTGTGTGGTACCTTGTAACTTTACAAGCAAGCTAAAATTCTTCTTCAGACTCGAATCTGGTATCCATTCATGTCTGCAGACGACTTTTGCTCCAAAACCTTCTTCTCTCCGGAGGGACTGCAACAAAACAAACAGTAATAAGAGACGAGACAATAGGTTTTATTCACATAAGAAGGAAACCGTGACTAATTCAGACTCCTTTGCCTTAGATCATGAGACGTCTGCAGTCAGACTTTTTTCCAGTGACTAAAAACATTTCACATCAGTGGACATGGTGCCTGTGTTTTTAGTGACGAACCAAGTATCTGGAGCACATGATTAATCATACCGTCTCTCAACACGGCTGATCCTGCGTATGGGGCTGCTTGGTCCTCTGAGGGGAGAACCCATGCTGTTTTTCCTGTCTTTGGTGGGAGAGGGCGGTGCAGGCTTTCCAATCTGCAAAAACAATTCACACGGCAGAATTTCAATCACTTTTAAAAAAACACCAACTGGGCTACGCTAACTATGCTTATGTCCTCACTGTACAGGGAGAGATGCCCAATGTCAGCAGCTGAAATCTGTCTGCAGCTTTAATGTGATTGTGCAGAGCACTCACTGTAAAAGATCAGCTATTGATGGATTGAGCCGGCCATGCATGAAGCACTGCAGAGCAGAGTCAAGCCATCGCATTAGTTTTATTATACACAGACCTCAGCATCAAGGCTGCCATCATTATGTTAGTGTGAGAGGTGATGAGAGAGCATCGTTTGAGAGAAATCGCTTCTCAAATAGCAGGTCAACCCTGTGTCACTGTGCGTGAAGACGCAGCACGTCAACAGAAAACCTAATAAGCAGTTAGGAAGGACGGATTCAGTTTCCTTTAGTCCTGCAAGAGCATCAGCTTATACTGGTGTCAGTCACTAGATGATGCAAAGTTTTAACATTTGAATACAGAAGAAATGTTTAAGAAACAGTAAGAAAAAGCTAAAAGCTATGGTTATATTGCAATCTTTCTGCAATGCGATCATTCACAATGTTTATGAAAACTCCCCTACAGAACACATTCCCTGATTGCTGTTTGCCCCAGATACCACTGTGCTCTACCTTCAGCCTCATGTCTCGAGTGTGCCTCTCCAGCTCCTTGCGTAGCTCCTCCTTGGTCAGCTTGTCCACATCTAGTATGGAATGTTTCCATTCTATCTGCTCTACGCTGTGCGGGTCATGGGACACGTACTGGCCGATCCTGACCTTGCGCAGGGTGTGCCAGTAGCCCCTGTAGGCTCCTTCATACTCTTGCACCAAATCCATCAGAGTCCGGAACTCCAGGGGCTTGAACATGAGGTCCTCCCTCCGGCTAATGCCCAGCGCTCCGAAGCGTCCCCCGCTGTGAACTCCCAGCACGATGTGGTGGAAGTGGTTCCCTGAGAACTGAGACTGAAAGCTAAGGGGGAAGCGCTCCACACCCGGCATGTTGTTGGTGAGGTAACTGTGTGAAGGTGGGTCAAGGAAATTTGATCTCCGAATCGAGTCTCTCGAGCAACAAAAGTCTGCCAAAAAACACATTAGGCCTCATTATTATTGTCAGTCTTTAGAGTCATTGCAATGAAACATACAACAATACAACTTTAAGATATTAAAACATATAAAGTGTCATGCAACATGATCTGCCACTGTAAGGATACATCCCCAGGATCACCGCCTCCAGGCATTTGATTGGCAGAGCCTCCCGTGTCATCTCTTTAGCAATATCCATCAACCTGTGCAGAACAATTGAACAAGAGAGTGACACTTTTACTGGGTATCTGTGGTATAAGACACTAGTGCACTACTGAGCGCACAACAAATGAATGATGTACACGCTTATTGATTTTAATGCAGACAAGACAAACATTTTCCATGAGCCAGCGAAATAAAATTAGTGGTACTAAATCCAATAAAGCGTGGTCTGGAAAACTGTGTTCCAGGCCTCGGCTGCTTGCCGTTGTTTCTACTCATAGAGCTCTGGGTTGAACCAGAGCTGATCAACACACATCAGGCTTTAGCAGCACAAAATAAATCATAAGAAACGTCAACGCTGACATCCCTGTGACTGCTGCCACAAAGCTCTGTGAGTCTATCTCTGACGATCAGTCAGATAAAAGAAACAAATGTGCTTACGCAGTAAGAGGCCGGCTCTTCTTAATTTCAAAAAACTGTGTTCCCGTGTGATTGTACCTGGAGGACATAGTTAAGGTTGCGCCGTAACGGAGCAATGTGACACTGCTTTTGGGAGAAAACTCTGCTGCATGCGGCGGGGAGGACAGACAACCACTTACAGCGCTTTGTGATATTCATAGGTTGTTGGTTAATTATGGATGAATCTCTGCTCTGACTGGAAATCAAGCTTAATATAGAAAATAGTATCCACACAGTGGCCTAGTTTATACTGTTTGACCCATATTTAATCACTGGGATTAATAAAAGGTAGTTTGTAAGCATTAATTTACATCGTTCATCCATCTTAGTAAGATCAGTGTGCAGAATATATTTCCCTACTATAAATGGCATGTTTTACTAACCAGCCAGTTGTACCAACTTAGTCAAAGGATACTGCAATTCCCTGATGTATTTCTGTATGGCTTCCAGACGCTGTGGGATAGTCGTAGTAGGTTGGTATGTAGGCACACTCGGTATTGGAATCTGTGGGACGGAGCATCCAAACAACTGCATTAGCATTACACAATCCCAATATTGTCGTCTTGTTGTGACTCTTCTCTATTCAGCATAACTAACGGCAAGAGTTATCTTAATGGCTCTTTAACCGCTCTCATGAGGAATGAATGAAAAGTACCATTCTTCTGTGTCCAAAACATCTGTATGGTGCAAATGTGCTGTAAACAAAACAACCATTGTGTTTTACTACTGTGATGAAACTGTGATGAAACTGGAATAAATAACTATTGAGGAAAAATAATCAGTTACAGTGGAGTATTTGGGGTTGGTTTAGTGGCACATGGCGTTCTGTATTTCTATCAGCAATGTGGGAGAGCATAGTAACACTGTAACTCAACATTTCCCCACAACACATGGGTGTAAATTGCTTCTCCACTGTTCGCAAAGCCTTCACTGTGCACAGTGTGAAGTGCACCGCTTACTCCTGCCATGTTTAATCTGCCGCCGCTTTTCATATTCAACCATTTTACCTTGGGCAGGTCAGTGGCACGCCGGACCTCCTTCCCCAAAGCTTCACCATTGGGGTGTATTCGAGCCACATGGCGCCACATCCTCTCCCAAGTCTCCTCATCCACCGGGAGGCCTCCTCTGTTCACGTAGAAAGGCACCCCTCCATCCCTCAGCTCTTCTTCACCCTCATCCTCCTGCTCCTCGTCTCTCTCCTGCACTGAGCCCACAGTGGCCCTCAGCATCCCTTCTCCTCCTCCTTCTCCTCCTCCTCCACCAGGAAGACCAGCTGAGTTCAGGCACACACAACGTCCTGACTGATGCCTTGGACCTTTTCCTGCTGGTTAATCTGCTTGCAGGTTTAAGTAGGTTCCCACAACAGATGGCCAACTCATGACACCCAGCAGCTGGTGCCACCAGTCTCTTAAAAACAAAAAGTCAATGCTGTGGTGTCTTATATCTTAAAGGTGATCTGCTGTGGTTGAAACTCACCTCTGTAGTAGCAGCAGCAGCTGGAGATGCAGCAATAATTTAAAAAGGTGAAGAAGAAAAAAAATCCTCTTTTTAGAATAAAGAAGGAAAAAGCACTTTGGTTAGATGTAGTAGACTACAGGCCATTCAATGATCACATATTCATGTAAATCAACAAACTAAGACACTAAGGTGGTTCAGCCTTTAGATGCGGAGCCTATTTTAAAGACAGAAACTGTGAAAGTTCATCATCAAGCAAACACAAGCCCGCCAGTGTAAAGCTATCAGCCGTAAACCGGATTGACTCTGCAGACAACAAAGTATTAGAAATGACTAATTCCCTGTTACCGTTAGAGGTCATTCACAGCGCACATGTATCCCGCAAATCACTGCTGCCGCACAATCCAATCCCATCACCTCGACACTCCTCAGACGGCCGCTTCATCTCCGTCTCAAACCATTTCCTCGCCAGTCAGCCGGCTCATTGTTCAGGCAGATGCTCCTGGGCTCAGTGACTGCGGGTTGGATTCACGTCCAACGAGCCGCTCAGACACTCCCAGATCACCATCTACTGCGCATGCTCCCTACTTAGCGGATGATCTAAGCCGTGACAAATGCTGCATTCAGGTGCTTCCCGGAAGGTGCAAATCTCAGATACGCCAACTCTTCTTCTCATGTTTCAATGTACTAATCTAACAGCATAGTGTTTGGTTAAAAATACATTTCAGACATTTCTCAAAGATAAAAAGAAAACTATATATATATAAAAAAAGATAATGAAAATAGACATCCTACAGTTACAATCAAGTCAAGTAAAAAGTGTTTTAAAGATTGTTTTTACCATCAGTTGAAATTCCAGCATCCTCTTGTCATGTCACAATCGACTTTATTAGTAATTCATTTGTCATTAATTTAAGTAATAGGAATTATATGTTATATATGTATATATAAGTATATGTAATCATTAGTTTAACATTTACATTGTAACTAAAGTCAAAACAGTAGAATTAAGAAGACAGATATAACTATGTAAATATGTCCCTAGGTTATGTTTCCCATGTTAAATCAGCAACTTTACACATAAACGTAACATTTGGGGTGTTGGGGGAAAAAAACCTGGAGATTGAGGACGATGTGCAATGCAACAATTCATTTATTATTGTAACACAATGTTTTAGAAGAACAAAACTTAAAGTAATTTGCAGTTTCATCAAACACATCCCATCTTTACCAAACCAAACATTAAACCCCTCACAATATTTCTAATATGTATAAAAGGAAAAACAATCTTAAACAGGAAACTTCAGTCTATTTACAGGTCTAGCTCAGTTGGAGAGATATTAAAATCTTGGAGCACCGTAGTCATCAGGCATCCGTTCAATATTGTACCTATATGAATAAAACAAAACAAAAAATCAGCATAGTTGCGTTTTTCGTGAAGCAGGTACTGACTAAAATGTTACATTTTATGCAAAAAAGCACACACGAAAGGCACATAAAGTCATATATTTAAAACTAATGTGTAACAGTGTTACCTGTGGTTTGAGATGTACATGATGGGCACCCCAGGGATCTTCCTGACCCTTCTCTTTAGATCTCTGTCCACTGTAGCCAGAATGTAACACTTGTGCTGTGGAAATATATACATATATGCAATTAAGTGCCAAAACCACAGTGTTACATGACATACATGTACCCTTAACTAAACAAAATGATGACTGCTGTGCCACCAGAAGTTCATGTCAGTTGTGTGGTCCTTTTGCTAGTAGCAACCACCACTTGTAGGGTTGTATAGCAGTTTAACCAACATGGTTACATCCAAAACATTTGTTTTGTCAAATCTGTGGCCAAGCAATTATTAATCAGTATATTTTACCTGCTATCCAAATGTACTTGTTATTACAGCTGTTTAGTTTAGTTTTCTTGCTATCAGTTTACTGCTAACCAAGTTAGCTATTACACTATCTAGCTGTCTGAGGCTAATGTGTTGCTTTAACTTTACTGTTAGGTTTTTTTTTAAATCTGTGTGCATGTGTTGTTATTCTAGGTAAAACTTTCACTGGTGATAGCTTTGTTTCTTGCTAGAATGAAAGACAATGTAGTGGGACAGTTTGAAAAGCATTGACTTTCACAGTTTTACAATTACTTCCAGTAAAAGCTGGTGTTGGCCTGTCCTCAACCTTTATTAGAAGTGTGTTGAGATTGCTGCAAAATTGCGCACCTTCATGCACAGTGACAGCAGGAGAATGATCATTTGATCAGCTCTGCATACAATGAATAGAAATACATTGTATGCATTTTCTGGACACATTTCTACAAGTAAAACATAAATTACTGTATAAGTGACCTAGAAATGCAAATACCATGGACATTATGTGACTTCATAATTCTCACAATCATCTGTAACACTTTTATTTTTATAGTAATGTGCAATTGTTTTGTATTTCAATACTATACACCTCTGTATTATTCACATAACACCAGGGTCCATAAACTAGCTCACCTAATGGAATACTTGTTTTTTTTAATCTTATCAATTACACCTGGGCTGCTATAACAATCCAAAACGTCCCCTGTGGAAAAAGGTTCATTACTATTCATCCTTAAGTGAACACTGACATTCTGTTATATGTGTGTATACGTACAGCTGTACATTAAAGCACATTACCTGTGTTACCCTTTGGACTAAACAGTCATCGGCATATGTTCCCTTGTGTGTGCACGGCAGGCGCTCAAACCTCGGATCCTTGGCTATCCTGCAAAAACCAAACAACAACAATGTAATTATAACAATAACAGAATAATCATAGAACAGGTTTGTGTCCCCAGAGCCATATTATATTCAGCATACTGTATCTCATATACATTTCTATTTTCTTTTTTCTATTTCTAGATATATTCTTAGATATTGTAATATAATTATTATTTATTTTCTTTAATGTTGTGTGAGCACCTTGAGCAGCTGTAATGAGAAAATTTCACCGCGGGGATCAATAAAGTATTTCTGATTCTGATTGTACCTGAGTGCGACTCTGTACTTCATTCCAAGCTTTTCAATCTCAGCCATGACACAGTCTGTGATCTGTGGGACACCTGGATTGGATGAAAGTGCAGGAAAAAAACATTTAATTGTATTGAAAATGTTCATTCTGAATCGTTCTATATAATAGATTGAAAAAAGGTTCCTCATTATTACCAACCACTTGGCAACGGTACTTACATTTTGCATACAGGCAATCCATCATAGACTGAACAATGTCCAGTTTGGCCTTGATGGAGAAGTTGATGAAATTGGTGTCGACTAGAATGTGGTATGGTGGTCCAAGCTGAGTGTTGTACTGGAAGAACAGGCATGATGGGTGTTTCAGCCTGCACAATAATTAAGAAGAAATCAAGTTAAGGAGCTATACAACATAAGTTATCATTCAATCCACGCTTTTGTGTGGCCAACTTACACTTCTCTCTCCTTAAGCTCCGAGGGGTCCTTCTTCTTTTTCTCCTTTGCTTTAGCACGGTCTTTCTCTTTTCTACAAAACAAACCGATAGTTAGAGATCTTTAAGATTTCCAATGTAACCATTAAATATTTTGGTTTGTTTGATTTGTATGTGAGAATTAGTGCGAGTATAAGGCTGGACAGAGCTAATGGATAAGATCAGGGGTGACTTTGGTTAGAAAACAGAAAGCAATTACTAAAACTCACATTCTTTGATCTTTCAGATTAATCATTCTCTTCATTGCAGCAAACTTCTTTGTTTTCTGCTTCCCCTGGAGTGAACAAGTGACAACACACACAACTCATTACAACCAACAGTATCTATTGTAGACGTGTGTAAGTGGACGGGTTGAGACCACCTTACAACACAAACTCTCGATTGATTAAACACAACGTTAAATAGCCCCTTGTCAGGTCTTAAAGGTTAACCACAGAGAAACAAAACTGAGCTTCACCGGCGTTACTGAAGCCGTTCTTTGGATAGGAAGTTGACTCACATACATAATGCTACAGTACAAAACAAACACTAAACTCATTAGCTAAACACATGTGGTCGAAACTTTTCAGGTAAACAACTAACGACTGACTTTGTGACCGAGATCTTGACAGTAAATAAAGTAAACTATATAGTTAGACGAGTATTCCTTCCAGCAGCTGTACCTGTAGCAACAGCTCGCTTAACGTTAAGGTGCTAGGCTAGCTCACTTAGCTCAGTGGCCCGAAAAAACAAAAAACCGTCAACGCCTAATTAATGATGGACACAATATCACAATGAGTGATTAAACCAGCGGTGTGTGACTGTAGCACAGTGAGAGAGTACATACCATGTTGTAAAGAGCACGGGTCTCATTAGCTCGCCTTCCCCTCGTGTATCCACAGTGACGTAATCAAAAATCGACCCCTTCTCCTGCGCATTTTCCGGTTGCTAAGCTAACAGACGAAGGTACAGGCTGTGTTCAATAGCATGTGTTGACGGGCATTTTAACAGTTTGCAGTGTTGCTTTGTGTCGTCGCGCTCTCTCAAGCGGCGTCCCGTGGTCTCGCTGCGCCGTGCGCCGTGGTAGCCGCCCCGGGTCGGCGACGAGCTTTCTGAAACGCCGCTGACATTGTTGGCTAACTCGGCTAGCTGTTAGCACTGAGCCGCTGTCCGCTGGTCCACGGGAGCAGTCCGTCAGTATGATGCTAACCGCCTCCGGCTTTACCGTGCGCCCCCGGTGTCCGTACACCAGCGATCATTGGTGATATTACAGCTAGCCCGTTTATGTTCCGCTCCCGCTGTTGACTGGTTCTGACGCGTTATTCAAGCAGCTGTCCGGGAAACTTCAGTAAAGCTGAGTGGTTGTGGGGATTTTTTGACATTTGGAAACCTGAGCTAGCACGTTTATAGCTCATCATTGTCAGCACCATCACCGTCACCTGGACTGTTGTTGTTGGAGGGACTGAGTGTCAGTGACTGCAGTTGACTTGGTTTCTTTGACTTCGGTAGTTCGTCCTGACTGAACAGAGGCTGGTGAGAGTGTTATGACCATTCATCAGCCAAGTTCTTCATGCATATTTCAGTGCTGTGGATTAGATGTTATGTTATTCTCCCATCAGCCAACACTTCTCCAAGGTGACACTTAAATATTCATGCTTTTTTGGCAGAGCAGTTTAGTGTGGAGCTCTTAATCATTCCCCACCTGTTCAACTAAAGCTCCTCGTTAGAATCCATTTGTTGAAAAGTGTTTTGTTCTTTATTTTGGTCCAGTTGTTTTGAGCTAAAGCGGTTTTATCTTCAATTGTAGGAGTCTTGAGTAGCCCCCCGGTGAGTGGCAGTTCTCCTTTGAGCTCGGAGGGGTCTCAGTGAAGGCTGAAAGATGGTCTGATGGACCGCCGCTTCTTCCTGACCTTCCTCTTCTGCTCAGTGTCGTGGATCTTCTTCTGGGAAGTGCGCTGGAAGAAAGGAAAAGAAAGTCAGATTGAGGAATGGCTCCAAGGACATAGCCTCACTCAATACAGGCACTTATTTGAAGGTCAGTGGGTTACAGACATTTTTATTTTATATTTACATGACCACTGCAGCTCTGGAGTTTGGTTCATGGTATAATCCGGGGTGAAGAAAGCAGGTGTACCTTCACTGACCTGCACAAGGACACTTCTGCAAGACAGATCAGTATTGCTTGAAACTTTCTGGTTAGGATGGTTTCTCAAACCATGAGCGTTTGCTGCACTCTTCAAAGCTTTTGCAGAAATACCAGGGTCATGTTTAACTGGACATGAACTATGTTTTATGCAAGGAGATTGTGATACTTATTTCTTTGACCCTGGTCATTTTTTTTAGTTTTGAACACTGAATATTTAGGCTTATGAGATAAATACGGCATGCATGGACAATCAGCACAGGCTTATATACTCATTCTAATAGACTTTAATGAATATAAGGCTGTGCTGGGGCATTACTGATGATTTGTTTGCCGGCATGTGATTGGGGATTTTTATGTGCTACTCATGTGTCATCCAGATGTACAGACCCTGGAAGAACTGAGTCTGAGTGTACTGAGTCGTCTGGAAGAGGTGGTGAAGGAACAGCAGCGCTGGAGGGAAATTGCAGAGGCCCACATCCAGCTGCTCCGAGACTTTGCCTTCCAGGAGTGGCTCTGCTCCCAGAACCTGGAGCACTATTACCATACGTAAGCAATGAAAGGTCTTAACTTTATCTTTAACCCCAATCTGGCAAAAAGTCGTCCTCGGAAACAATTGCTTGTTGGCATTTCATAAAAGTTGACTTTTGACAGCATAGTTTTTGTTTGAGTGTCTTAAATTTGTTATTAGATTTTGTTCATGTTTTCTGCTGGTTAACACAGGCTATATTTATTTATGTCCACTTGAGGGCAGCCTCTCCATTTCATGGCTAGCTGCGTTTGCTGACACAGAGCTGTGGAGCTGCAGTGTTTGTGAGGGTCACTGCAGTAAAAAGTATTCTTTAGAGACTGTTAGTATGAGACCCTGCAGCAATGCAGATGTTTGTGTATGTGTGTAGGGTGCTGTTTATTGATCCAATCAGAACCAGTTGTGAGAAGTAGATGTTGCCTGTTTGTCAGTTTTAAGGAAAGTCAATTGTAATCTTTCCAAAGGTCAGTTGTGTTTCTCAAACCCATCGTTATGTCCTAGTTAGCATGTTTTTAAGGATAATTCTAATGGGACACGTCGTCAAATTTCTGAAGGTCGCGACTGTCACACTATCGAGCCCCCTTTGCCATTTTGATTGACTGGGCTTTATCACTCACATAGTTATGGCTCAGCGTCTATTGAGTTACTAACTGTAGTAACAGAAGATGATTTTGCACTAATTTCTTGGCTAAAAAAATGATTCTGTGAATGCAGAAGTTGATGTTGCAGACTCACAGAGGCCTCTCAGAAATATTGTAGTTAGTAGTGGGCTGATTTTAAAATAAAATACAATTATTTACTTGAATGAAAAAAAGAACAAGAGGATTCTGTTTTACATTACTACCCTGTGATGCCGCTGCATACCTGTACACATTTTTCTTGACAGATGTCTTGTTGCCAGAGAATTTTTTAAAAACTGGAAAACTCACATGTTTAACAGGTTTTATGGTTTGAATTTAAAATGTGTTTTAAAAGGAAAACCATTCTGTGTGTTTTTAGCCACTGGAGAATCTGATTTTAGTAATTATTGAGATAATATTGTGTGCTACCATCTTTTCGTGTATGATAACCACACCATGAAAGTTTCATTCAAAGCACAAGCACCTTCCTAGTGTAAACAGCCAAACTCTCAATCTTGCTTAACAATAGGAGATTAGGTTTCAGTTTTAACAATTTAACTGCTCAGCTTATCAAACATTACAGTGTAATAAAGCCTTAGTGTACAAAGGCCAAATGAAACATGCCACACAATCTCACTACTCCCTGTTGACATAGCATAGCTTAGCTGATAAGATTGAGGCTTGTCTTCATGCAGAGTTTCACAAAAAATGTTTATTTTGAGTGCGGGACAACCTGTTCTGCAAAGTGATGTCAGCAGTCTTGCTCAGTAGATGTGGAGCGACACATAGCAGTCAGGTCGCACGTAGGGTTGCATTTCTAAAGAATGTACTTAAGAGGCTGTAAAGTAATTACGCATTGCTGACCATTATCTTCTTCATTTACTTTCACTTTTCTTTCCACTGCAGACTGAAGACCTTGGGTTGTATGAATCTGGATGATCTGTCTCAGTTTGACAGTCAACTGCAGCTGTCTCTAGCTGCTTGGGGTTACTACTACGAAGACTACATAAGGTTGTCTACAGGTATCAAGATTCTCCAGACGTCCAGGGGGAGTCGTGACCAGGACTACGAGGTCCGGCTGGTGCACAGCCTTGCTGAGAGGCGTCTGAATGAGAAGTGGTCAATTGGTGAGATCCTGATTATTTTCTTCCTTCAAATGCTTTTAGTGTCGGTTGCTTTCCACAGCTGCAGAGTGTCAAGAGGCATTTCAATTTAAGACGTAAACATAAGCGGTTGCTAAGTGTTTTCACTAATGGTGTCATAATAAGATCAGTTGAATGTAGCTTAAGTGGTGTAATGGAGAAGTTCAGTGTTGCTTCATCTGTATGTACAGCCCAAAATCTGTCTTTTTCTCTCATAGTATTCACTCCAGGACAATATAAAATGAATAAATGTTACATTGTACCATTCCTAATGAACAACCAATAACTATTGTTATCTTGGTGTTCTTGCCTAGGGCAGCCTGGTTTTCAACTTCCATACTTATGTTCAAAACCAGCCAGTTATATCACACCATTACTTGGCAGTTGTTGTTGCTTCATTTGACAGGACACCATTTTAGTGGTGCTAAAGTCCAGCCTGGTTTCATGTTATCATTAAACAGTATCTTAAAGAACAGAAAGTACAGCCATCAAGATTAAACCTGCAGGTTCAGAACAGGAGATATTGTCCACATTTAAATAATTATTCATTGTTACATTGTCTGCTTGTCTTTTCAGCTGGAGCGCTCATATTTGGCTGTACTGTGGCGCTGTGCTTCTTGATAAGGGACCTCATGTTTTACGTGATTGGTAAGTCCTGTGTTAGCTGTTTGGATTGGGGTTTGAACTGACGTGGTTTGTTCTCGAGTTGCTAAAAGGACTCATTCTTCCTGCAACCATATACTTAAACTGGATGTGGTTCGACCAGTTTTACAAATTGCTTTCCAGTATTCGAATTGCCCAAGGATTTGTTTTATAATGTTGGTCCCATAAACCTCGGCCAGTCTTTGCTCTGTTTTAGTAGTGAATCAACTTATTTTCCAAACCAAATAAATGCCTTGCCTTTATTGCAAACAGTGTTCCAACAGCTTATCTCCTGTGCTTCTTTCCTTCTTGTTGCAGGTGGAATTACTGTTTCCATCATACTGTTTGTCTTTACCATCAAGTTCCTCTGTGAGCTTGCAGCGAGAGTGGTCAGCTTCCTGCAGAATGAGGATCCAGGGCGACGCGGTGACCGCAGCATCTACGACTATGTCAGGGGGAATTACCTGGACCCACGTTCCTGCAAGGTGTCTTGGGATTGGAAGGAACCGCAGGAAGTGGGGCAGACTATGAGCTTCAGAGTCCAGGTGATTATTGATTTCTATTGTTTGTAGTGTAACTGACTTTCTTACAAGTGGCTTACGCAAGCAGCATGAAATGAAGAAAAACAAGACCTGTGTTTTCTCTGTATTAAATAAAACTTTGTTTGTACTTCTGTCTTTTCAGCTGTTCTATAAGAATGGCCAGCCTTTCCCGGCCCATCGACCTGTGGGACTGAGGGTCAACATCACCCACATTGAATTGGCTCTGGACATCCCTGTTACACAGGAGGTTCTGCATGAACCAGAGTCCAATGTAGTCAAAGTGGCCTTCACAGTACGAAAGGCAGGCCGCTATGAGGTTGCCGTCAAGCTGGGTGGCCTCAATGTGGCCTACAGCCCTTATT